CAGCGGGCCTATTGTGGGGTGACACGCTTAAACTTCTCTGATTCCTCTCACGGCCTGTACCCAGCTCCCCTCCGCCACCTAGAGATCGTGAGCTCCGTGTGAGGGGGGCAGCCTCTGCCCTGCTCCCTGCCATCTCCCCACCCCGCTCCCCCGGAACAGAGCCGGGCACCCAGGACAGCCGTCCAGTCCCAGGGTGGATGGATGGATGGATCCCTCCCCTGGCCACGCTGTTCTCTCCAGCCCCCAGGCCGGTCCCTGCCTCTTGCTTTAGCTGCATGTTTGACTGTCTGCCCCACACCGGGGCTGGCCAGCAAGCTGGTGCTTGTCACCCCCTGCCCCAAGTTCTCCCTGGCCTGCCGGGCTGGGGGGAGGGAGGGCCGGGAAGAGAGAAAACAGACCAAGGCTGTCAGCAGAGGGAGACGGCCAGGGCCCAGACCCCTGGCTGGCCCGGACAGAGGCCCCATGGACAGGACAGGCCTGGCCTGGCAGCTTTGGATCCCGACGGGTGAAGCAGAGGCCCGGGCAGGGAGGAGCAACCCCCCCCCCCCAACCCGGAGACAGGGACCAGAGTGAGCGGGGAGGCGGGCGGGCTGAGGAGCAAGAGGCCTGGACAGCGGGGTAGGGGGGAGAGGCGGCAGGGGCGAGCCCGCAGGAGGACTGGGTAGGCACCCGAGCTGTAGGTGAAGGAACCGCAGGCTGCCGGGGCGGGCAGGGGGCGGGCATCACTGGGCCTGCTGGGCTCCAGGAGGGTGCCGGCTGCAGGGGGCGGGGCCGGGCCGCCGCTGGCCATGGCAGGTGCTGCGGTGGCAGGTGACATGGTGGGCCTGGGGGGCGGCTGGGGGGCGCTGGCCGGTTGCGTGGGGGCAGCAGCGGTTGCAGGTGGCCCGTTCTGGACCCCTGGAACGGAGCAGAGCCGCTGTCGCAGGGGGCTGGGGGGCCGGGGGCCGGGGGGGCAGCCGCTGACACCCCCCCGGCTGTTGTAGGCCAGCTGCCAGCGCACCTGTGGGGGCAGCCGGCAGGGCCCGTGGGCTGGAAGGGCCGCCGGGTCACGGCGCCACTGGTGACAGCGTCCTGGAAGGAAGGAAGTGGGGGTGACTGGGCCTGGGTCCCTGAGCCCTGGCGGGCACTGGAACCAGGCCGAGTCTTCAAGTGGAGGCCGGGGCTGGTCCTTCCTCTGAGGCCCCGGAGAAATCAGAGAAAATGAGGAGGGGGTGTGGGCAAGGGAGGGGCCGGTCTCCGTGCTCTCCCGTGGGTGGGAAGAAGAGGTGCAGAGACCTGGGCTCTAGCCGGGCGAGGGGCTGGAGCGGGGACGGCGACTTGGGAGTCCCTGCTGCCCCCAAAGTCCTCGGCCCCTGGGGGATGGGTCCCCAGGGCTCAGGGAGCAGAAGGGAATCCATCAGGAGCTGGCCTGGCTGGTCCAGAGGAGGCTGGAGTGGTGGGAGGTGGCCAGGACTGAGAAGAAGGGGGCGCCTCACACCCGGGCTCCGGCAAGGCTGGTGGGAAGGGGGCTGCCCTGGGAGGCGGGGCCTCCCGAGACTGCGCTGCCCCCGCCCCGCCCCAGACCCCCATTCGTACCCACTCAGGGGTGGGGAGAGCTCACAATCCGGGGTGGGGGAATTCTTCCCACGCTTGGGGGAGGGGTAGGCCGGCTGGGCCTCCCCCTCTGACACCCCCATCCTGGACTCACGCTTTTGGGCGCCTCGGGGCCCACGGCCCCCACCCGCGGCCCCTTTACGCAGAAGCCTCCGTGGGGAGCAGTGGCGGCCCCTCTCCTGGGCCCTCAGGTTCTCCTTGTGTTCAGCCATCCACTCGGCGGCCTCCCCGCTCACAGACCACTCTCCCTGCCGGGACGTCCCCCCAGACTGAACCCCTACCTTTATGGTGCCCCAACTCCGGGTCCAAGAAGTAGCGCTCAGCGGGGGTCCGAGAGGGCAGGGCGCCCTTGGCGAAGTGGACGGTGTAGTGTTTGTGCATGGCGGCGGGGGCCCTGCTTGGGGGAAAGAGAGGGCTTAGTGCCCGCGCGGCACCCTTGGGCGTCGGCAGGAGAGCCCACCCCCGGGCCGTGACCTGGGACAGGTGAGAGATCCTGTCCCTGACACTGGGGCCCTGGGTCACCAGGGGGGCACGGAGGTGCTCTTCAGAGTAAAAGTGAGTGGTCGCGGCGGGGGAAGGACAGCTAGACGTGAGAGAACGGGGAATGGTTATGCGGGTGCTAGGGGCTGATTTGGGGTGCGTGAGATTTCCCAGGGCTGGTGATTGGGTGTTTGGGCGCCGCTGGGGGTTTCTAAGAGGCCAGGACAGGGGGGCTGCCGGGCAGCTGTGGGCCGGGGAAACACGGGAGCCCGGGGGTGCCGAGTAAACTCAGGGCACCACCAGGTGTTGGGGGTGTGCGCCGTGGGAGGTGGCGCCTGGCGTCCTTTGAAGGGACGTTTAACCGGCGTGGTGAGAGCTGGGAGCCCCGGGAGCCACTGGGTGACTGAAATTCCAGGGCCGGTACATCTAGGGCCTGGATGAGGGCGGGAGGGGAATCCTGGGGGAGCACATTACATCACGGTGGTCCAACCCGGGAAGAGACTCAGCAAACTCAGGGCGAGATGGGGCGCACAGGTTTGAACTGTAAAGAGCCGAAAGCAAAAAGGGAGGGCGGGATGCTGGGGGGGGGGGGTGGCGAAGTGGAGGGGCAGAGGAAACCGGGGTGAGGATGGGCTCAGTGAGGATTGGGGGCCCGGCACGTGGCCCCTGCCCGCCTGCCCCCCACCTGGGGCCCCCCGTACCTGACGGCAGCCTCCAGGCCCCAGCTCCCTGCCCCGCCGAGCTGCTGTGCCAGCCTCACCGCCCGTCAGCACGGGCCCCACTGGAGACAGGGCCCGAGCCGGGTGCCAGCCGCCCGACCGGTTTGCCCGCCCTGCCCCCGCCCCTTCCCCTGGAGTGCCCGCCCTGCCCCAGTGCTCTCTGCTCTCGAGGACTGGGGGCTGTCCTCCCGGGGGATCGGCAGACTCTGCCCGGGGAAGGAAGCTGGCCCAGGGGTTGAGAGTCGGGAACTGAGAGAAGGCCACAGTCCCGGGTTCAGATGCCAGTTCCTCCAGGGCCCCGCTGTGTGGTCTTGGGCAAGTGACTTCACCTCTCTGAGCCTCACCTTCCTCATTGCTGAGTGGGCCAGTGACAGCCAACCTCCCGTGGTTGTCAGGAGGAGTCCGCTGAGCACAGAACCTGGCACTCGGTAATGACGGCAGTGAGCACCTGTGGGCACCGGCTGACCCACTTACCAGGCCGCCCTGGATGCCGCCCGCACGTAGCGCCCTACCGGGAGCCGCGCGTGGTTTATGCGCTCTCCCTATGGTCAGCCCTTCTTCCTCACCACTTCCCCGGGGGGCAGCCGTGAGGCCATGACAGAGGAGGAAACGGAGGCCCAGAGAGATGAAGTCCCTCGCCCCAGGTCACATGGAGGGAGGGTAGGGCTTTTGAAAGCCGTGGTTTGTGCTGCAGGCTCTGGGGCTCCCCTCCTGTCCGCTGGGTGGGTGGGAGGCTCCCTGCGGCTGCCTGACAAGGAGTCACGACAGGGTGATGGGGGGGGGCGGGGGAGACAACCACCGAACGGTGCCCGGGACAAGGGGGTTCAGGACGAGACAGAAGGGAACCCAGATGGTCCAGCAGGCTGCCCCTCTAGGGGTTCCGCCTGGGCGACCGGAGCCATGCGTCCTTTTGTCTGCTGGGGGCCAGTCCTCTCTCCTCCTCAGGTCTTCAAGCCGCTTTTCCTGGGAAGGCTTCCTCCCTGTCCTTCACCAGTTGGGGACTCTGCCCACTGCCGCCCCCAGAGGCCCAGCCAACGGGGACGAGACGGGGCGGGGCGGGGGGGGGGAAGGGGAGTATGTCTCAGTTGGGGGTGAGTCTGCAGGGGGGGAACCTCCAGGATGGGCCCAGGAGCTTCTTGAGGGCAGGACAGGGCCAATTCCCTGCCCGCCTTGCCCAGCCTGAATAACCAATTCATTCAGGAAGCACCTGCCAGGCTCTGTACTGGGCAGATCCAGCGCCCCACAGAGGGATCCAGAGGGACCCGGGCAAAAGTGTGCTGAACAGGAGTAAATGGCGTGGGGCCAGAAGAAGTGTCCAGGGGTCCTCTGGGGGCTGGGGGACAGTGAGGAACCACTCAGAGGCCAAGCGGCTGGCTTCCAGGTGCCCAAGAGGGAGGAGAGTGGGGAGTGGGCCAGAGGTGGGGCAGCCGAGGCAGGGAACAGCCTGTGGGGAGTCCAGAGGCAGGCCAGGGAACAAAGAGCTTAGCCTTCTAGGCTGGGGGGCGGGGGCCAGATGGGGTGTCTTCACAGGGTCCTCCAGAGGTGGAGGAGCCCCCAGCCACCGGTGGTTGTTTTAAGCGAGAAGACCCTTTCTCCTCCCACTTGGGTCTCACCCCAGCCTCAGTTTACAGCTCTGAAGCAGACAGCGGGGCCTGGGCAGAGTCCCGGTGTGTGATACCCTTGGGTGCTATGAACGTAAAGGGGGGAGGCGGTGGGGGATGGGCACCACTGCCCCGGGGGCAGGTCGGCCAGGCTGCTGTTCTGAGTAGGACTCCCATCCGCCAGGCACCTCAAGAGTGTGCGCGGGGGGTGGGATATGAGGGCGTCTGGTCCGTCCTCGGTGCCGGTAGCCCCAGGCCCACCCCCGCCCACACTCCGGGTGGCCTCAGCCCCGCTCTCCGGGGAGAGGTCCGTTCTGTGCGCCCCATTGGGCAGAGGACAGCCCCAGACTTGTTGACTCTGGCAGGGCGGCCAGCGCCCGGGGCCAGCCTCCCCTGCCAGGTGCGCAGGGCAGGAGGCTGTGGGCTGGGGGTGGAAGGGGCCTGCAAGGGGCGGGGGGGGGGGGGGCCCCCCCGGGGGGGGGGGGGCCCCCCCAGCCACACAGGGTGCTCTGCTTCCCACCTCCGCAGGACGAGTGACAAAGTCACAGATGCCTCCTCCCCGTCCGCACTCAGAGTGACCCCCTCCACCTTCCACTTTAAACCCAGCTCCACACGCAAAACCTTTATTGGGCACCTGCCGCGCAGAAGGAGGAGTCCCGTGCAGGGAACCCTTCACACCAGCCCCAACCTGGGATGCCCTTACCTCCCTGGGACACCCGCCTGAGCACATGGGACTCCCTGAAGCGGCTGGACCCCCGCCCCCCACCTGTTCATCACCCATAGAGTCTGGGGTGCCCAACACCAGCCCTCTGGCCACCCCCAAAGGCAGTGGTCCGAGGCCCCCCCGGGCCGGGGCGGCGGTGAGGCTCAGCTGGGGTGCGGGCCCGGGGCTTCTCAGGTTTTCTGAATCACCACCTGGAACTTACCTGGAAGAGAAGGGCTGGCGTTAGCTGGAGGCTGGGACCTCAGGGGCGAGCCAGAAAGCACCCAAACAGCTCAGAGATGTTCATCCCTGTCCAGCACCAGCAGACTGCGTGGCCTTGGGCTGGGCTGACGGGTGGTCAGAGGGGGTGCTGCTCCCCGCCCACCTGGCCCGCGTCCCAGAGCTGTGTGGGTGACTAGCGGCACGAAGGTCAAGCATGCAGGCTGCTGGGGAGGGCCGGGCACGGGCTTCTGTGGCATGTGTAGCTCAGGTCCTGCCCACGTGGCCTCGGGGCCCCTCCACAAGGAGGCCTCGGGGACCCACAGAGGGAAGGACACCTGGGGGGTGGGGCAGCAGAGGGTGGGCTGGCCCCAGGTAGGGATGAAGCTTCAGCCTGTCTGATGGGAGGGCCGTGGGGGGGTCAGGACACCCCGCCAGACAGGCTGCGGCCCGTGGGCCCCGGCTGCCCTTTCGGGACCCCATCAGAGCATTAACCAGGCTGACTTCTATCACGTCCAACCGGAACAACGTTCAAAACCACCAGACCAGCTCCTCACCGATGTCCCCTGCTCTGGCCTGGTGCGCACCCCAGGGAAGCAGGCTGGGGGGTGTGGCCAGGGGGCACGGACGGGCTGCACCAGCCGGGTGGCCAGGGCACGTGACTTAAGCTCTCTGGGCCTCAAATTCCCCATCTGTAAGTGGGGCTTGGCAGCCCTGGCCCCGCCTCCCCGACCCTCAGCGGGGGCAGGGGCGGGAGGGCTCGGAGCCCCCACCGCACTTCAGGGTTGGGAAGATTCCCCCACCCCACCCCACCCCCGACTCACAGGTGGGCAGGGATGCCACGGAGGCGGTGACCAGGCTCTTGATGCCCAGGGTGCTGAGGGTGCCTCGCAGGAGGCCGCAGGTGAAGGCCAGGAACTGGGGACAGGGGACACAAGTCACCCAGGGAAGAGGGGAGGCCAATACCCAGGACCGGGGCCATACGGGGCATTGGGCTCCACAGTGGGGGTCACCTCCTTCCCTGGGTCCCGGGCCATGGGACAGTCGCTCGGCTTGAGGACAGGCCTGCTTTGGGGCAGGTGTGTGTAAATGGGGGGTTGTGGAGTCCAGGCACCCTCCCTACCTTGGGTGCTTCCTCCAGATACTGCGGGCCGGAGGCCATCCGGATGAGGAGGGGGAAGCTGTTGTCCTGTAGCACGTAGGTCCCCTGGGGGCAGAGAGGAGCCCAATGGGGGCTGGGGAGGCACCTGTGCCTTTGTAGCAGGGGAGGGATAAGCCAGGACCCGGCGTCCCCTGCTCCGTTGGGCTGAGGTCTGGAGGGACCCCTCCCTCAAAACCCCTGTTTTTGGGCCCCATCCTTTGGAGCTATGCAGAAGGGCCCGGGAGCTGCCCAGCCTGGGCCAGGTATCCGCCCGTGGGGCATGTGGGTCCTGCCCCTCTAGCTGCAGGACTTCCGGGGTGGTCCTTCCTCCCAGGGCTGTGGTGAGATGCTGCGGACCCAGCCCTCGAAGCGGAGGCCAGGGCCCGGCACAGCGTGGGCGCCTAATAGGAGGTCGGGCCAGCTCGAGACAAGTGGCGACTCGCCGGGGCGCAGTGCTACCAACCACGAGCGCCCACTGCCCGCTGCGAGGCCCCATCTTGGGAGGCCTGTGGAAACTCTGGCGATAGCCAGGACGCCCCATAGTGGCCTCCTGGCTTCCCTCGGAGGACTGGGCAGAGGCCCAGAGAGGGGAGGCCGGGCCTCCGGGGTGAGGGGGGGGCCCTCTCCAGCCTCCTCTTGGTTTCAGCCTCCGCCCTGAGCCAGGAAGCCGGGCCCCGGGCCCGAGGAACACACCTGGTGGTTGGTGCGGAGGCTGTCCATCTGCTTTTGGAACACGGCCACCCACAGGTCTTTGCACAGGAACTTGAGAACGTCCAGCTCCTCCCTGAAGGCCAGCGTCTCCTGGGGCAGCCTGGGGGCAGCGGCAGATACCGGGGCCGGGTGGGCCAGGATGGGGAGCCCGGGGTTAGGAAGAGGGGGGGGACGCCAGGCTGGGTTCCTATATGGAGCAACACGACCCTCCCCGTCCAGGTGTGCCCAGGAAGGAACTTGACCTCGGGTCCTGCCTGCCTCTGGCCAGGAGGGGAAGGACAGGAAGTGCTGGCTCTCACCTCTCGCCCAGGGCCTGGCCCACACGGAAGCCCATGCCCTCCAGGACAGACAGGCTCATCTTCTGTCCCTAAAAGGCCAGGGAAGAGAGGCTCAGGGGAGCCCCAAGAGGGAGTGTCCCGGGGCAGCAGCCACAGAGGGGACCCTAAGACCAATGTGCCCATCTCTGCGAGCTCAAGGGTAAGGAGAGCCAGGAGGGAGGGCTGTGCCCCTGCCACGCAATGCCTCCACAGACGCCATCGGCTCTGAAGACCAGCTCCCTGTTGCTGCAGGAGAAATGGGGGGGGGTCTTCCTCAGGCTTGGCTTCCGCCTGCTCGTCTGTCAGCTCTGTCCTGAGAACACCCATCGCTTATCGCGAGCATTTCCGGGGTGTGCCTTGCAATACCCCGTGGGCAGGTGGTGCTCTGATCACTCCGGGGGGCTCGCGGTGACTTGCCCGGGGGCTCTCGTGGCAGCACGCCTGCAGCCACAGCAAGGGAGCCCCGGGCCGTGGGGCCCACCCTCGTGGCCCGGCCAGCAGGAAGCTGCAAACATCAACTCTGTTCATCGGGCCTTGAAACGTCAGCCAAGGGGGTGCCTGGGTGGCTCAGCCGGCTGAGCGTCTGACTCTTGGTTTCAGCTCAGGTCGTGATCTCAGGTCGTGGGATCAAGCCCCGAATCAGGCTCTATGCTGAGCCTGGAACCTGCTTAAGATTCTCTTTCTCTCTCTCTTTCTCCCTCTATCTGCCCCTCTACCCTGCTCACACTGTCTCTCAAATCTAAAAAAAAAATCAGCTGAGACCCCTGGGAGAGACACGCAAGGGCTCGGGGGTGGGAGAGATTCCCTTGGGCGCTCAGGGAAGGCAGTGGTGGCCACGTGGCACTCCAGAGCTCAGGCCAGTGTCCCTCGGTGGGAGGGGCAGAGGCGCAGGTGGGGGGCATCAGAAATACCAGGACAGCATAGAGTGAGGTGCGGTGCTCCCTAGAGAAAATCTGGCGGAGCAGGGTCAAGAGGGGGTTGCGGAGCCCAGGCACGAGCCCTGGGAGGGAAGTGGCAGTCACCAGGCCTGAGCCCCTCCCTTCCTCTGGCCACCACCCTCCCCCCGGGAGTGACTTCCAGCCTCCTTTCTGGGCCTGATGGGCCATCACCGGAGCCTTTCCCATGGTGGATAGATTTCCCTGCTGAGATCCGGCTCTGGGACAATGTCCTGGCCTCAGCAGGTTTCAACAGCCTTCTGGGACCCTGCTGTCCCCCCATCACCCTCTGCCCTGTGCCCTGACAGCTTCCCTTAGTCCAGCAGAGGGGCCACTCCGCCCATTCACTGTCACCTCCCCCAACTCCCAGAGGCCTCCTGTCCTGCCCTCCCGGCAGGTTAGGTCCTCGATCCCAGCGCTGACCAGTCTGTGGCGTGGGGACCCGGGCTGACCTTCAGCAGCCAACACTGGCCTTGGCATGTGGGAGGCCCTTGGGAAACAGAGGCCGAACAAGGTGAGCCGTCGGGGTTAGCGCACATTCTGTGTGCCGGGCGCTTTGTGCGAACCTCCTGTTGAATTTTCACCACCCCGTAAGGTAGGCTGTATTTCACGCCTGGAAAGCGGGGCTTCGAGGGTTAGGTAACAGGCCCCTCAGCCATGGGGCCATCTTTCAAACCTGAGCGGGTCCGGCTCCCAAGCCCAGACGGCCAGGTGGGGGGGTGGCCAGGACGACACCCACAGCTGTCCTGGCCTCAGTGAGGTGGCAAGGGCTGTGCTCACCCCCGCCCCCGCCCCGAGCAGAGGTTGCCTGCGGTTCTGGGCAAGGCACCCCTCTTCTCTGCCAGGCCCCTGGCCCCTAGGCCCTCGCCCGCCATTCCACGCTCCTCCTGCAGGAAACGACCCCGGTGATGACACAGCTTCCTGGTGGCCGACACCGGCCGCCGGCCGGCTCTCCGCTCCTGCCATGGGGGCTCCTCTGGTTTCCTCGGGCACAGCAGGTGGGCGAGTGGGGAGGGGTCTGACCGCTAAGGCAGGTGCCTGCGCAGATGAGCTCAGGTGTGTGAGACAGGGAGGGGACGTGTGACCAGTGGCTGAGTGCAGGGTCCACAGCCAGATCAGCCCGACGCCTACCTGCCAGCTGGGGGGCTGGGTGGGGGCTAACTGCCCTGGGCCTCAGTTTCCTCACGGGCAGAGGACCCTGTCAACAGTGCTACCTCCCAGCGTCCTTAGGAGGATTACAGGAGTTAGTAAATGCAGGCTAAGATTAGTCCCAGTCAGGCTTAGTGAATGTTACTGTCCTTGTCACTCAACCTGGGTGAGTCTGTCAACCTGGGTGACCAGCCCCTGGCGGGAGGAAAACCCCAGGAAGGGGCTGTGCTCCCTGTCCCCCCCCCCTTCCAGAGGTGAGTGCCTTAAAGAGGCGGGCCAGGCTCCATTCTGACGAGCACATGTGTCCCTGAGGACTTCCTAGCACGGGGGGGGGGGGGGGGACACTTCCCCATTCACTCCACAAACATTTCCTGGTGGCCTCGAGGAGCTGGCCACTGTGCCTGGTGCGACGACAGGGGCCCAGGCGATGGGCACCCCACATGCAGGGGAGCCGGGCAGGGCAGAGCCAGCTCCCTGGGGAGGGGCCCCAGGGTGCTTCTCAGAGGAGGGGGCCGGGAAGGGGAGGGTGTGCGCAAAGGCAAGGAGGCGGGTAAAGGGATGGGGGGTGCAGCTCAGGCCACGAGGGCGGGGGACAGTGGCGAGGGGTGGGAGCGGGGAGGGTCCTGCGGACCAGGCTGGGGCGGGCACGGCGGGAGAGGACGCCACCGTCCCTGGGACGGAACACGCAGGAACTAATGGCGCGGTTACAGCCTCGATGCCCCAGGGAGAAGAGATGCGCTCCTTGAGGGCTGCACGGGGGCCGAGTCTGAAGGAAGAGGAGTTAAGCAGGGAAGGCAGTGGGGTGGCACCCAAGCCCAGGTCACAGACAGGACAGCAGTCCCGAGGGGGGACAGCCAGAGAGTCAGCAGGGTCCTCAGCCAGGCCAGGGAGGCGGGGCGGGGGGGGGTGTGTGTGGCAGGGGTGAGGATCTGGAAAGGTCTGCATACGTTCAGGCTTCCCCCTCGGTGAACTTCAGACTGCCTGGATTCAAGTCCTGCTTAGTGACCTTGGGCAAGCTATCTAATGGTTCCAGGCCTCAGTTTCCCCGTGCGGGAGATGGGGCTGATGGCAGGCCCTACCTCACGACAGCGATGTGGCCGGCAGTCTCCAACGGCTCAGCCCCAGCCCCAGCCGGCACCTGCGGGTGCCCCGGCACTGCGGGCACCACCGTAGTCAGCCCTCGCTAGGGGCCGATTACACATCTGCTGAACTGGAAAGGCTGGGTGGTGGGTCCAGGAACAACAGAAAAGGGAGGGGAGACGGGCGGTGGGAGGGCAGGGCCGAGGATGAGCAGGTGGCAGAGAAGAGAGGGCGGAGGAGGAAGAGACAGAAGCCTCACCTATCATACCTGCCTCCCTCGGTCCTCCCAAGAGCTCGTCAGGGATTAGGGGTTTATCATTCCTTTTTTTTTTTTTTTTTTAAAAAACATTTATCTTTGTGTGAGAGCAGGGAAGGGGCCGAGAGAGAGAGAGAGAGAGAGAGAGAGAGAGAGAGAGAGAGAGGGTGTGGGGGGGGGGCGGGACACAGGAGCCAAAGCGAGCTTTGCTTTTGCAGCACAGAGCCCGACACGAGGCCCAAAGCCACGAACCGTGAGACCATGGCCGGTCGGCTGCTAAAGCGACTGAGCCACCCAGACGCCCCTAGGGATTTGTCATTCTTGAGAAAGGCAAGGCGGGGACTCGCAGCCACCTGGCCCAGCCCAGAGCCAGGGCATTTCTGGGCTATTTGCACAACAACCCACTGACAGGAAATGACATAATGCAGGGGCAGGGGGGAACCCCTTCGAGAAGGCGCTCCCCCCAGCAGCACGGGGAGCCGGGAGGAAGGGGCAACAGACAGAGGGGAAGCTCTTGGAAAAGGTAAGTGGGGCAGCTAAAATAAACATGTGTTAACAAGGGAGCTGAAAAACAGACCAACGTGTAAGGTGGATGAAGCCTCCCAGATCGTCAAGGAAAGCACACGAGGTAGAGAAAAACAAAAGAAAAGTTGTAAGACACGTGGAAGGGACCCAGAACATCTAACGTTCATCCGAGAGCCGAGAAGACACGGTGGAACAATGTGGAAGAAGAATCAGAGACAACAGAGAAGAACGTGCTTGTTTGGAGGAAGGTCCAAGTGTCCAGATTGACGAGGGCCACGGAGCTCCAAGGAGGATGGTGGGAAAGCGAGCAAACCAGGCCACCCCACAACCCCCCCACATGCTGAGCACTTGACTCCCAGAGAACACCCTGGGCTGAAGGGAGGGAGTTGGCGAGGGTCCTGTGCTGGGCTCCCTCCAGTCTCTCCTGCTGTGCCCCTCAGTGATCTGTGAGGCTCACCACCACCGGGCCCACGGCCCTCTGTGCCGGCCCTGGCAGGGGGACCTGGGACGGAGCAGCCCCGGCTCCCACCTCCAGAAGGGGGCAGGGACAGGGAAAGTTCTCGCTTTCCCCAGGTGAATGGCCCCAGAAGGCCCAGAAGTGTTCGGAGGGAGCCGGGGAGTAAGAATGAGCAAGCGCAGAGAGCCGACACGGCCCCCGCATCCACCCGGGCAGCCCCAAACACCCCCAGATCCCACCTTCTCCCCCTAATTCCTCCCACCCCAGGCTGAGCGCCTGCCTCTGCTCTGGGCCGCTGCAGCAGCCAGTTGGCTGCATGTCCATTCAGGTTCATTCACATGGCTGAGGAGGCCCGTCTAAAAAGTAAATCCGAACGCCCCACACCTCAGCTTAAACCTTCTATGGCTCCCACCACGGGCTCCCTGGCCTCAAGTGCACTGCGCCCCCTCCGGGGCTCTGCCCCCAGGGGGCCGCTCTGCCAGGAACCCAGGCTCCTGCTGAGGGCAGGGGTCCATCTGGGAGCTGGTACACCCATCCCAGGTGCCCAGGCTGGCGTGGGCACTCACTGGGCCTTGGTGGAGGCAGGTCTGGCCCAGCAGGATCGCTCCTGGGCTGCCGCCAGGGCTCACAGAAGTAGGTGACCGAGGCTCCTTGGTGTACAGAGGCATTAACTCCTTTGCCCCAGGCCCCCCTTATCTTCGAAGCTGCTGGGGTGGAGAAACCACAGGGACCTCTTCCTCCCCAAGTTTTTCCTGTTTTGATAACAAAGGCCCTTTGACCTCCTGGCTCCTCTGGCTAGTCTTCCATTCCACCTGTAACCATCCAGAAAAACCCATTCAACAGTCCCAGGTTAACCACCATACCAGGCAGGATGTGGGGAGCCCCAGAGCTCCTGGGCGTATGTGCTGCGGGGACAGGTGAACGAGCCACCATCCCTGCGCTCAAGGAATTCAGCGGCTGCTGGAAGGGACAGACCTGAAGCCACAGACAAGTTCTGGAGCCAGAAGCCTGAGTCCTGATTTCCCCTCTGATTATCGCTGCTGTGCACCCTGGGGAAATACCCCTCTGGCGCCTCAGTCCCTCCTCTGTAAAATGGGACGATAAGGTCGGCTTCGCAAGGCTGTTCTGGGGACAAACTCTGGCAAAATACTGTACTGGGGACACCAGAAGTACCCGACAGGAGGCCTGCATCTGGTTCAGACAGGACACGTGTTGGACCAGAGAGAAGGAACAGAAAGAGGAAGACGGAGGAAGGGCCGGGAGCGGAAGAGGAAGGGCTGAGAAAACAGTTTTCTTGACGTTGCCCCCTGAAAGCGCGGCTCCTGGGCAGAGGGGAGGTGGGGGAACCGCCAGAGTCCTCCCCCCTGGCTGCACCCAGGAATCACCCTGGAGCTGTGGGGCAGGACCCCGGCATGGGACTTCCTGGGGCAGCTGGGTCTCTGGCACGTTGATGTGCTTTGAAAGCCCGTGGTGAGCACCCCTGAGTAACCCCAATATTTCCCACACCTGCTCGACCACAGAAACCCATTAAAAATCCTCCTGGCGAGCGTGAGGGAAGACACGCCGGGAAATGCGGGCCAGCGTTTACAGCACAGGCTTTGGAGGCGGGAGGCGTAGCTCTACATTCCTCACTCTGCCACTTGAGAGCGAGCAGTCCGTCCATCAAAGCCTGTGTGTCTTCGTCCACAAAGCCTACAAAGTGGGGAGGATTGTGCTGACCTCTGCGGGTTGACAGGAGGATCAAATGAAACCAGGAGCGTGAAGCCCGTGAGGGCACATCTCATTTGCGGCAGGTGCTACCACGATTACGGAGCCCGATGCCCAGCCCAGCCCTCCACGGCACGGGGGCGGCGTCTGCTTCCACGGAGCCACGCCCAAGACCTACTGTGCGCACAGGCCCCACCGTGGGATCAACACAGACCCGGGCCTCGCCTTCACGGCACACAGTCTGGTGGGGGGAGGGGGTGAGGACGTGAATCAAAGGATCTTACCGATCCCTAGTTCAGACACACACTTGAGCGGGACGGGGCGGCAAGATCACAATGAGGACACCTGGCTTCGAGCCGGGGCTCAGGGAACGCTTCCCTGAGGAAGTGGCATTTGAGCCAAGGTGTGAAAGATTAATGGGTGTGAAGGCAGCGAAGATGTGACAGGTGCAATGAGCGGAGAGAGGAGGGAGGAGGCCGGCCTTGGGCAGAGGTGGGGAGAGGTGGGACACCATATTCAGGGAGAATGGGCAGGGCCTGGTTGAGGGCTGGCGGTGAGGGAGGAAAGGCTGATGTCGG